TTCCCCCGATCTCTGTTCATTCCTGGAGGTGCGTGCACGTGCAAAACGGCCTCGCTTCGAACGCGTTCAGTGGGGAGCTGCCCTGTCTGCCCCCTGTTTTCTGTGCCTTTGTGCGATCGTTTGGAACACGGAGACAGGCTCTTGATACCGCTTCAGAGCTTCCCGACGCTTGTACAGCGCGGGGATCTCGGCCATCAGCCGCTATGGCCACCGTGGCTCACTGCAGCGGTGGTGCTACGCCACTGATATTGATGGAGAGCTTCCAGCCTGGTTTTGTATCATGTTATCAAATACCTGTCCCTGCTGCCTTACGTGCCGGCAGGTTCCTGCTGCAGTCCTTAAAGCTGCGTTAACGCTTCCCATGGGGGAGGTTGGGAAACTCCTTGCAGCCACAGGTCTGCAGTTCAGAGCCTGCTGGCCTGCCGCTGCCTTCTGGAATGTGCTCTGTGCCTGCAGCAGTGAGGAGAAGCCTTTAGAGGAGCAGCTCTTTTTCCCATGAAATCTTTCTTAGTCACAACCGAGCATTAAATACAGATGGATTCTCTGTTAAAAACGCTGCATCCTTTTGTCTTTCATGCCGTTTGCTTAGCACGTCGCACACTCACACCCCCTTGCTGGCCAAGCTGCTTCCATGCATTTCAGCATCACAAAAGTGATACCTGGCCACCTGCCCGCTCCCTGCTCAGCCCTGTTTGGATGCTTCATTCGGGCCAGAAACATTAGAGGGAGCTAAAGGCTGCTGCATGCACCCGAGTGGGTGGCTGGACACTGGGTTTCTGACAGGGGTGGCCTGGAGCCTCATCCCAGGGCAGGTGGACACCGGTCCTTCAGTCCCAGGAGTGCTGCCCCTGGGTCTGTTGTGAAAAGATGAGTGGTTTAGGGTCACTCAAAGAATGCCCATCAAAGCCATTAGCAAGAGCAGTTCTAATACGATTTATAAAGGCGTGAGTTAAGAATTCGATGGCGAGATTCACTCTATTCTTACATGAGGAACATCAAGGTTAAATTGAGCTAAAGATGACTGATGCAGAGGCTGGAGGCACGGAGTAAGGGAGACCCTCCTGTTGAGTACTGAGGTTCAGATTAGGCCCCCTCACTTTCTAAACTCCTGAGGGAGCATAGGTGCAGCTGGATCTAGTTTTAATCTTAATCTCTGATTCTATGATGTATAAAGGATCCTGTTAAAAAGATTCCCTGGAGTCAGTGAAAGGATACCATCAGCTTTCTCAGCACTCCTCGACAGGCAAAGGGTTGAGCATCACTGAGCAGAGCTAACAGCCCCAGTAAACAAAGAGCTCAAAAGGTCCTATCTTGGGACCACTCTTTATAGGGTCATAAGGTGTGTGGCTTTAGTCAGCAGTGAATTTCCACCCTGGCCTCAATTCCGTATGGGTTCCGCCAGTTGCACAACAGTTGTGTTCCAGATTGCCAGGGAAAGACTGATCAGCCCCAAAGAGCTGGTACAATCAGGACTACCCAAACATTTGGATCTCTATTTGCCACTCCCTACCTTTGCCAGGCAACCGGAGTTCCTGGTACAGCCAGGGAGTGCCCAGCATCCAACTCCTTGCGTTGTGCAAAGCCTGAGGCTTAATGGGAATTCATAGAATCCCAGCCTGGTTTGGGTTGGAAGGGACCTTAAAGCTCCTCCAGCTCCAACCCCTGCCACGGGCAGGGACCCCTTCCACTGGAGCAGCTTGCTCCAAGCCCCTGTGTCCAACCTGCCCTTGAGCACTGCCAGGGATGGGGCAGCCACAGCTTCTCTGGGCACCCTGTGTCAGCGCCTCAGCACCCTCCCAGGGAAGAGCTTCTGCCTAAGAGCTCAGCTCAGTCTCCCCCCTGGCAGGTTCAAGCCATTCCCCCTGAGAACAGAAGAATCCTGAGCACAGGAGAAGAAGCCACCACGTCACCTGAAGCCTCACTGACCGGCTACATCAACCAGGCCACCCTGGTGGCTCTGCAGTGGCCCCTTTACTGTCATGGTGCCATCGGGCCAGCATGGGTGGCATCACTGCTGCTCCTGCTGTGGGGCTTTTCTTCAATGCAAATCAACACGGACTTATTTATAGCACCTTCTCCCAGCAGGAGAGCCTATTTTGGGCTGATGCTCCAGCACCAGAGCAGCGCAGGTTATTTTAACCCTGTGCTAGGTTATTTTCAGAGCTGCTCTTCTCTGCACGTGCCCCGAGATGGTTTCCAAGTACCAGGTGCTTTCTCGGTGTGGTGTGACAAGGGGTGAGGGGAAAGAGGGACCATAAGAAGCGATTTGATAGAGATTCAAAACTAAACCATCCTCTGCAGCAAAGCTGCCTTTGACACACACTGGATCCACACAGCATCTTTGACAGGAACCTGGAGAGGTGGAAGCTCAACAAGGCCAGTACTAGGTCCTGCCCCTGGGTCAGGGCAATCCCAAGCACAAACAGAGGCTGGGGGAGACTGGACGGAGCAGCTCTGAGGAGACCTCCCCCTGCAGTCCTGATCAAGCTTTGGAGCAACGGTACAAGAGAGACGTGGGGCTGTTGGAGCGAGTCCAGAGGAGGCCATGGAGATGCTGCAAGGGCTGGAGCAGCTCTGCTCTGGAGCCAGGCTGAGAGAGCTGGGCTGGGGCAGTCTGGAGAAGAGAAGGCTCCTGAAGGGGAGACCTGAGAGCAGCTCCAGTGCCTGAAGGGGCTGCAGGGAACCTGGAGAGGGGCTTGGGACAAGGGCCTGTAGGGACAGGCCAAGGGGAATGGCTTGAACCGGCCCGAGGGAAGACTGAGATGAGCTCTTAGGCAGAAGCTCTTCCCTGGGAGGGTGCTGAGGCGCTGGCACAGGGTGCCCAGAGAAGCTGTGGCTGCCCCATCCCTGGCAGTGTTCAAGGGCAGGTTGGACACAGGGGCTTGGAGCAAGCTGCTCCAGTGGAAGGGATCCCTGCCCATGGCAGGAGCTGGAACTGGGTGAGCTTTAAGGTCTGGAGCAGTCCAAACTCCTAGAGCCACCCTGTCCAGATCCAGATGCTGCAGGAAGCAGCTGCACCATTTATCAAGTGGACTTCTTGGTCACTTTGGGACTTCCTCAGCTCAGAGCTGCACTCATCCATGTGCAGAGCCAGGAGCAGCCCCATCCTCACAACTGGGGGTGCCAGGGAGCAGGGCCTGCCAGGACCGCACCAGGCAGGGTGTCGCCTGCAGCCACAGCGATGGCATCCGCAGGGTTACAGCTCCATGAGGAGGCACAGGACTGGAAAACTCACTCACCAGCCCAGAAAATACCTTAAAAAAAATCAAAGTAGAGGAAAAAAAAACCTCAACAGCATCTTCCCAACTCACCGGAGAAAGCACAGGGGGGCTCAGGCAGCCCTTCTCCTCCTCATCACCAGTCCCTCCTGCTTCCCCTATCCCATTCCCATCCCACCACCCACTTTCCTCCTGCTTGCTTCCCCCTCCCCACCCTCACCGATGGCTGTAGGTTGGGAATGGGCCCCGGCTGGCTCGGAAGGGCGGCAGGAGCAGCGCTGCCCTGGGACCCTGCAGTGCCCCTGTGGGGCTGCAGCAGCTCGCACCGCCCCACTGGGAAAAGTGAGTCAGGGCCTGAGCCACTGCCAGCCCTATTCCTGGTATCCCAACCAGCTCCAGCCCTGCCTGAGCCCAGCACTGGACTGGGATGGAGCCGGTGGAGACGCAGGAGGAGGACCCTGGGAAGAGCCCTTGGGATGGATGGTGCTACCCCCGGCAACCACAGCCTCACCCCATAGATGTCAATGCATTTTTATTAAATTCTTACAAAACAGAATACAAAATTCTGGAATCAACAATTGTTATAAAGGAAAACTTCAATTCAGCTGTATCAGGTCACCTGGTACATACAGTAAAGTGCTTGGTTTTATGGTTTTGTCTTTTTTTTTTCCTTGTTTTCTTGGTTTTTTATTTTTTTTGTGGGTTTTTTGCAGGTTTCTTTGCCCCTGTTTCAGTTTCAGGTCGCAGCCAGCCCCCGAGCAGAGGCCGCTCTTGTACAAACCAGCAGTGCGTTCACGAGACTCTTGTCAAGCCAGCTTTGGCAGTCTTCTTCCATTGTAAAGTAGAGAAAGTTTCTCCTGTTCTCATAAAAACAAAGTTAGCTTCACAGTAAACGTTTCTAACCAGTTCTAAGTGGAGTTAGTTGGCTGAAGGAAGGGCGGGGGGGAAGGAGAGGAAGCCAAAACGCTTAATATTTCCAGCCTAAAAAAGAAATAATAATAATAATAATAATCATCATCATCATCTTTTTGAAGTTGGTTTCCAAGACAGATGCTCTATGGGAGAAGGGAAAGTGGGGGGGGGGAAGACTTTGAAAGAGGAAGAGGAGGAACAAGGGTGGTGGTGAGAGGGATCAGCTGGTGCTGGACCGCGGGTCAGGGAGCATCTGTCTGGAAGCATCCCCCCCTTGCGAGGTGCTGGTGGCAGGGAGGGGATGCCTGGCCCCGGCACAAGCACCTCGCCAACCAGCCCAGTGCGATGCGAGGCACCCATGGGTGCACCGAGGTGTTTCAGAGCCCATCCCCTGGCTCTAGAGGCATTTCAGGTTCTCCATACACACACAAAGACCGGAGCTCACCAACTGGCCTCCACGTGCACCGGGCTCCATCACCAACCTGACCCCCCCACCTGAACCAAAACACAGCACCAAACCTGGGCTGAGCAACCAGCGAGGAGCTCGATGCTCCCAGGATGTGCATCCCCTCAATGCCATCACACCAGCAAGAACACCCATGGGGACAAGCTCCCGCACGCACGGGCCACCCGGGGCCACTCACCAGCCTTCAGAACAGCGGGTGCATACATAGAGCTAAAAGGATCCGCACATGGGAAGAGGGCGAAGCTCAGTTTGCCAACAAAGGTGTGGCAGGAACAAACACCACAGATTTTATAGCCACCCCCCTGCCATCCCCTTCCCATGGGCAGGTTTAAAACCAAGAAGAACCCAGGCTGCGGCGTGCAGCACCACCGACAGCTTTCACACCACCAGCTCGAGGCATCGCACACTGCCCAGCGTTCAAGTATTTCTTAATATAAGACAACGAGGAATTATCTACAACTGATAAAACAAAATAAGCTCTAAAAAAGTAATGTACAATCAAGATGGATTTTGTTTTGTCTTGCTTTAAAGGAGGCCTCTCCAGGGCATCCCGGTGCCTGAGGGGATGTCCCCTCACCACCACCCCGCACAGTGGGACTGGGGGGGAAGAGAGGAGACTGCACGTGTGAGGCAGTTTTGGGGGGGGATGGAGAGGGGAAAAACCACCCTCCCTGACCCACAGATGCCACTCGGTGGAAGGGCAAGAAGACCCTGCCCCAAACTCCATCAAGACCCCAGATCATCATCTCCCACGGTAACGCACGCACACCTCCCTGAAACAAAAACCAACAGATATTGCATAGTATTGCTGTCAGCAGTTTTAAAATCAAAAGGAGAACTTTCCCCCTCAGGAGACAGCGACTGTCCTCAGCTGAAGACCCCAAAGCAAGCTCCCAAAGCCTCCACCTGTGCACACAAGGGACTGAGGCTGCTTTTTCAAGGTATAAAGCTCAAAGCAGTGGATGGATGGGAAGGGAAAGGAGGTTCCCAACAAAGGGGACACCCTCCCTTGTGGTGGGAGACACGGGGACGGTGGCATGAGCTGTGTTGGGGAGCAGGGGTGGTGCAGGGGGTGCCTGGAGGAGCTGGAGCCAGCTGGGCTCCGAGCACCTGATCCAGCCCCACACAGCAGCAACCAGCCAAGGGCCTTGTCCTGGTGCAGCATCCCGAGTGCTGCCTCCCCTCCTTCCCCAAAGCTCTGAGCAAAAGGCAGCGCCACGCATGCAGACGTGTGGACACACATGGACATGGACACGTGGACACACATGAACGTGGACACACATGAACATGGACACACATCAGCATGCTCAGCTCTCCCTGGCCGCCCATCACACCCTGCACTGCCCTGGTGCTGCTGCCGACCCCAAACCCTCCAGCCCCACATCCCAAGCTCCCCCTGGCTGCACCCTACACTGTAGCCTATGGGTGCTGCCGCCAGCTCAGCCGCTCACCCCTCGGCACAGCACTTTGGGGTGCTCAGCACCCCCAGCCCCTCCTGCAACGGCAACCTCAGGGCCAGCCCGAAGCTCTTTAAAGGGTGTCCTTTGCTTTCCATGGAGCATCTGCTATGCCCAGAGGGGTATTTTGGGGCTGCTCCAGCCCCAAATGCAGACCTCATTCCCTCTGCACCTCCCTAAGAGCACATCCACTGGCAAACAGCCCTTCCAAAACCAGGGACACAACACCCAACCCGGCACAAGAGCATGGCCCAATGCTCGTGCATCCCCCTGGCTCTGACCTTACCCCCAGGAGCCACCATCCAGAGCACGGGAGCAAAGGAAGACAATTCCCTGTGCCCTGTAGAGAAGCACAGCTTAGCAGTTTAAAACCAACAACAACTAAAGGGGAGAAGGAAGGACAAGGGGGTGAATAGCTTATTCTGGAAGCAGGTTGCTGAGCAGAGAGCGGGGCTCGGTGGGATGCGGAGCTGCTCCCTCGCTGGCACCAATCCCCCCTCCGGCCCAAGCAATCCCCTGCACAACACCCATCACATCCCCCCGGATCACAGCGCTCCCAGCACCCAGGATGGGGGTCCTGTGGGATCCACCCTGACGTGGGGGACAGCCCTGCAGCTCCGAGGGGAGGGAGGAGGCTCACACACAACTGCCGCTGCTGAAAGCGCGAGCGAGGGTCTTGTGTTCACAGTATGAAACGAGCTGAGATCGTCAAAGCAGCCGCGGGTACAAAGAGTCCTTTGGCGTCGGGATGGGGAGAGGGGGGGAAATGTCAGCGGAGAAGCCAGGAGTCGGGAAACAAAAGTCCGTGTGTCTGTCAGATGTCCTTGAGCGTGCCCTGGGTGAAGCAACCTCATGCTCGGTTTAATACCTTAACAGAAGAAAAACATCTTGAACAAAGCCTCCCACCCCCGACCTACAAGATCAGCACAACCTTGGAAACCAGCCATAGGGACGAGTCCTGATCTTGTCACCAGCCAGAAACGGTGGGGCTTGGGGTGGGGGGGAGAGAAAGAACAAAGGGGGAGGAAGGGGACGACACGGGGACAGCAGGAGTGTGGGGCACAGCTCAGGCTTGGTCGGCCACCAGGACCAGTGGGGCCACGAGGTGCTGCCCGGTGGCCACTGCCTTGGCCAGGCTGCTCTTCTGCCGCCGCTTGGCCAGCTTGGACTCGGAGGGGGGGGAGAGCTGCATGGCCCGTGAGGTAGCTTTGATGATGATGGGTCGTGCTTCCTCCTCCGCCTCATCCTCCTCATCCTCATCGCGCCGCGTCAGCTGGCGATTGACGGCCATGGCCTCGGCAGCAAAGGAGGTGAGCTCTTTGGCACTGCTGTTCCTGCGGGGAGGCAGGGGCTCAGGGGGGGAGGAATGGGGGGCAAACGTTGGGGTGTCCCTCTCTGCACTCAGGCCATGCCAGGCCGGTCAGGCACCACCAACATGGCTTAAACCCCAATCACACACTGCAACCGCTGCCCAGAGCTACAACAGAGCCCCCCCAAAGCAGCAACTGGGGAGAGGGGGGCAGGATTTGGGGGGCTGGGATGTGTCCCCCCCATCCCAGGGCCACCCTGCAGGATGCTCACCTCTGCAGGATGATGGGGGTCGGCAGGGTGTTATCCGGGGCGCACTGCAACGAAACGCAGCCGGTCAGAGCCAGGCACCCCACAGGAGGGTGAACCCCACTCCAGCTTTGGGGAGCAGAGATGGGGGGGGCAGCAGCACTCACCCCCTGCACCCAGGGGTGCTCCAGGACCTGGGCTGCGCTGAGCCGCTTCTTGGCATCTCTCACCAACAGCTTGGAAATGAGATCTTTGGCTCCGAAGGAGATGTGCGCCCAGTCCTTGTCGGGAAACTCGTACTTCCCCTCCTGGATGCTTTCGAAGAGCATGTTCTGGGGGGAGAGGGGAGAAGGACGAGGGGCTGAGCTGGGAGCGGCGCAGCCAAAGCACGGGTGAGTTCCGGCACTGCCGTGGTGCTCCGTGTACCTGGCACGTGTGGCACGCCTCGCCCCGGTCCCAGCCGCAGTCGGAGCCGCAGTGACCCACGAAGGGGGGGTACCCGCTCAGCATGATGTACAGGATGACCCCCAGGCTCCACAAGTCGCAGCGCTTGTCGTAGATGGACGCCTCCTCGTTGAAGGCTTCCACCACTTCTGGGGCCATGTATTCGGCAGAGCCACACTGGGGGAGAGGTGGGAGTGAGCCCCAGCACGGGGGTCTCAAAGGACGGGGGATTGGGGGGGATCCCACCAGAGCTATGGGGCTGCACCCCCTGAAATGATGGTGCAAACCCAGGGTGCAGGGCACGTCACCACTGATGGGTTCCCCACCACCGCAGACCTGCCCCCATTGGGAGTCACCCAATAGTGAAGGCTGCCACCCCAAAAAAAGCCTAAATCACAGAATCAGCTGTTTTGGAAAAGTCCTTTAAGAGCATCAAATCCAACCATTCCCAGCACTGCCAAGGCCACCACTGCCCCATGGCACTGAGGCCTCATCTCCACCCTGTGTGAGCACTTGCAGGGACGGTGACTGCAGCCCTGCCCTGGGCAGCCTGTTCCAATGCCTGAGCACCCTTTGGGGCAGGAATTGTTCCTCAGCTCCATCTAACCCTGCCCTGGTGCAGCTTGAGGCCGTTTCCTCTTGTCCCATCCCTTGTTCCTTGGGAGCAGAGCCCAGCTCCCTCCTCCTGGGCATCCCCTCGGGCAGCACCAGGGATGCCCGACCCACAGCTCCCAGCACCACCCAACCGGCTCAGTGGGGCAGCGTCCCTCCCGCCCCGTTCCCATGGCCTGGGAGCGGCTGTGAAGCAGCAGGGATGAGCCTGCTCTGCCTGTTCCCAAGCCTGGCGAGCAGGCAGGGATCCGGGGCGGGAGGAGTTAACCCTGATGCAAGCCCTGTTCCCATATCGCTCCAGGGACTCTGGGGCTTTCCAGCACGCATGACCCACACACGCAGCCCACACGGGGCCTCGTGACCAGGGGAGAAGCAAGCTGCAGCCAGCAGATAATCGGGGGCTGTCACCGAGCGAGAGAGGCCCCAGCAGCTGATGCCACCACGAGAGACAAAACACAAACACAAACCAACAAACCCAAGGCTCAGCAGCACCCAGCGCCAGGCTTAACCCTGCAGGGACCAGGGTGCTGCGCCCCAGCCCTTGCTGAGAACGGGGGAACCCGGGGCACCTCTGGGATGCAGGAGGAGGGTAAAGGAGGAGGAATAAGGGGGGGGCAGGATGTTTTGGCCCCCACTGCCGCTGTGCGCCCTGGCACATGAGCACCCCGAAAACACCGGGGTGCAGGGCAACACCCTGCATGGGGGCATCCCTGCTGCTGCAGATAAGGAGAGCGGGGAGCGGGGAGGATGGGATGGATGGACACAGGCTCAGTGCCCCCCCGCTGCATAGTGTGGACAGAGCTGTGCAATGGAGGGGTCACCCCACAAGCTTTGGGCTACCCACCCCGCATTGCAAGCGAGCAGCACCCCACAGTGTGTGTGGGGGAGCCCCCTGTCCCCCCCCACGTACCCGGCAATCACAGCGGCAGCCCCAGCCCCTCTCCTGACCCACTTCTCCCTGCAGCAGCCTCGGCGCAGCCGCGGGGCCGTGGCTGTTGCTAAGGGCTCGCAGCAGCCCGGGCTCTGCGCCAGCCCCCCCCCGGCCCCCCCCACCCCTGCATTATGCAACCGCAGCTCAGCACCACGGGGAGGGGGGGCCGGGACACGCAGCGTCAGCCCCCGGAGCAATGGGATGGGATGGGGGGGGATGAATGAGCCCCGTGCCCAAAGCCTGGGGGTACCTGGGGGGGGGGGTGCCCTAGGACCTATGGGGGGACCTGTGGGGGCCAAGCCCCCCCCCTCCCATGTGCTTACCGGGGTGAGCAGCTCCGGGGTGGAGATGGGGGAGCAGTCGCCGTTGAGTTTGATGCCACTTCCCAGGTCAAAGTCACAGATCTTCACTGGGGAGACCTTGGGGGGGGAGGAAGGAGAAGTGGTGACCCCGGGGGTCCACAGCCTTGTGTCACCCCCTAATGAGCTGCCTGTTAATGCCTGGATGCATTACACCCCCATGCGATGCCCCATGGGGACGCACCACATCTCCCCCCCACCCAGGGACCCACCACCCGCTCCCCACTCACGTGGTCCAGGCTCTCACACAGAATATTTTCCGGTTTTAGATCCCTGTGTGCAATTCCTGCAGGGAAAAAAAAAAAAGAGAGGATGAGGGCAAAAATCCACCCCCCCTCCACGCTGAAAGGTCTGGGGGTGGCACAGGGAACCCTCCCTCCCCACCCCAAATCACTGCCTGCATCGTGGCAAAGGGCAGGGATCAGTCCCAGCTGAACCGGAGGAACAGGCTCCGCACCAAGCGCCTCGTGATGCGGCTGGGCCTGACCCTGTGAGCCCAGGGCCAGCAGCAGCCCCTGGGCAGGAGGATGCAGGGATGATGGAGGGGGGGGCACAGCTCACCTTTGTTGTGCAAAAAGTGCAGGGCGCTGGCGATGTCCCGCACCACCACGCTGGCCTCCAGCTCGTTGAAGTGGCGTCGCCGGTGGATGTGGGTCAGGATGGAGCCTGCGGCCAGGTGAGAACAGAGCAGGGGTTTGGAGGGGGGGTCCTGTTGCTAACCCCAACCCCAACCCCAGCACCACGCTCACCTCCTCTCATCTTCTCAAACACCAGGTAAAACCTCTCCTCTTCCTCAAAGAACTCGATGAGCTCCAGGACGTTCCTGCAGGGATGAATGGCATCAGCCCAGCAGCCCCCCAAAACCCGCCACAGCCCCACAGGGTGAGGACGTGGGACAACAAAACCGGGCTGCCAGTGATTGAAACCACACTGGTTGGGGCCCCGGCTGCATTCCAAAGGGGGAGAGGGGCTCTCAGCACCCAGCCCTAATTGCTCACAGACCCTCCTGGCTCGCTCGCCCTGCTCAGCGAGACCGTGGCCGTGCTGGCCTGGGCTCAGCTCCAGTTTGGCTGCCTCAGCCCCCCGTTGTCATGGCAAAACCACTTCATGTCCCCCCGAGATGCTCCCGAGGCCAAGGGGAGGGAGCCCACGCGTGTCTCTAGCCCAGCCCAACCCCACGGTACCTGTGTCCCTGGCACTGATACAGCATCTCCACCTCCCTGAAGACCCTGCTGCGGATGTGTCCCAGGCGTTTCTCTATGATCTGAAAGGCAAACAGGGGGGATGCTCAGGGAGCAGCACCGCTGCTGGGCCTGGCACCCACTGCACGGCACCCAATGAACCCAGCAACCCCCTCATGGCACCCATGGAGCCGGCGCTGGGGCCGGCTGAGGCAGCAGAAGGGGTTAAGGCAGCAGAACAGGCTGTTCCCTGCTCCCGGCGGCGCTGCCAAGCCGCTCCCTCCCGGGCCACAGCCAAGCCCAGGTCCATGTGACGCTGGCCCGGCGCTGAGCCATGGGGCTGGAGAAGGGCCCTGCACCATGGGGGTGCCGTGGGGTGGGCAGGGGGTCCCCACACACAGCCTCACAGAGGAAAAGCCGCGTGCTGCCACCAGCCCCAGAGCTGCCGTGCAGCCCTCCCTGCTGCCTCAGTTTCCCCACGGGGGCACCCAAAGGCTCCCCAGGGCCACAGGCAAAGCCACAATCCCTTTGGATCCGGCTGCGTCTTGGCACAGAGCCCATCCCAGCTCCTCGCACCGTGGCTGGGAGCCTGGGGGGTGCAGGGCCCTGGGCCCAGCATCCCCTGACCCCAAATGCAGCTGGGTCACTCCTGCAGCCCCCACAAGCTCGCAGGGACACGGAGGTGGCCTCCCCACCAGCACCACGCGCCCTTTCCTGCCCCGAGACCCCACATGGGCCACGGGCATCAATATCACCTCCTGCCTGCCCTGCCTCACAGAGAGCAGCGGGGCCAAGGGGGTGACCGAGGTGCCACCAGCCCGGCCCCATCCCCGCCACTCCTGCACCAGCGCCGCGTGGCTGCAGGAGCCAGATGTGGAGGCTGGGAAGGGAAACTGAGGCAGGGGGTGGGAGGGAGCCGGGCACGCGGCCCCCAGCAGCAGGGCTTTACCTTCACCGCGTACTCCTTGTTGGTGATGAGGTTCACACAGGACTGGACTCTGGCGTGGGCCCCTTCTCCCAGCACCTCCTCCTGCAGCTGGTAAACATCTGGCAGGGGAGAGGCTGCCTGAGCTCCCGGCCCCACAGCAGCACCGGGGGGCACCAGGAGGGCTCCAGCCCTTCCCCGCTCACCTTCGAACCTGCCGGAGAAGCTGTCGGTCGCTCTGCAGCGCTTCTTCTTCTTGTTCCTTTTCTTGGCGTCAGGGATATCAATGGGTTGACTCGAAGGCATGTCTGGGCCGGAGCAAAGCCACCGCTGTGAGTCACCCCCGGCCGCCCATGGCTGCCCCAGCACGGCCACCCCTGCGGCACCCCAAAACCCTCGAGGGAGCTGAAAGAGCCAAGAAGATGCCGGGAGGGCACCCGGAGCTCACCGGGACGGGGCGGGCACTCGAAGTTGAAGACAGGCTCCAGGTGGTTGGATTGGTCGAACTCCAGGTCAAAGGGGTTTTGTCCCTGGGCATTGGGGGGGGGCAAGAACAGCAGTGAGATGGCAGAGCCGCTGGATCCAGCACCACCAGTGCTGAGCCCATGGAGCCTGGCACACACCCTGCCCGCCCGCCCCATCGGTGTGGGGTGCTGGGTGCCACCAGGTCATGGTGCTGCTGGAGGCACGCGGCAGAGCCGGAGGAGGAGGAGGAAAGGTCTGACCACATCTCCTGATGGGGACAGCGCTGCGTGGTCCTGCCCGCACACGGGGGGATGAGGAGAGGGATCGGGGATCGGGGCCGCCCGCACCAACCCAGCCCCATTTCTCCACCCAGACCTGAACTAACAAAGG